TGTAGAATGCTGTTTAGCTCCTGGGGCTTCTAGCCTTGTACTTAAATAAGGAGGCCATGGAGAAATGCTAACAGCTCTAGACATGTGTTGCCACTCCCACATGGCTTCCTTTTCATCCTTTTTGGAAGCTACAAAAAGACTCTGTGCTGTGTTCGTGAATAATCTCTGTGACATGAACAGCTTGTTTAGAGGCAGCAATGGGGAAGGCTTTTATTGCCCATTCAGTGAAAGTTTTGCACTACAAAGCTCTCTTTGATGACTTCCAGCATTGACTCTCCAGTCCCCACCACCACCACCACCGTCCTGGCTGCTTCTGCAAAGTAGAAACAAGGGAAGCAGAATTTCAGCAGCTCAGGATATTTTTCAGTCCAGCCCAGGAATGTTTGACTAGGAGCACTCAACTTGGCCATGGCAACAGAGAATGATGGGCAAAGCAATCCCACCACATCTGGATGATATCAGATTGGGGAAAGGTGGTCACAGAGTTGTAATCAAAGATTTGGGAGGTGCCAAACTGGGAAAGGTTTTCCTTCAGACTGCCAGGAGAGGAATCCCAATTCCCCGTACTGTCAGGGGAATTCTGGGAATTGAAGTCCACACATCTTGCCAAGCTTGAGAATGCCTGCTGCCAACTATACCCTCTGAGGGCTTTAGCCTGCAGACAAGGTGTTCCAACAGTGACTTAGTCCTTCTCAGCTTGTTGTTTCTCCTTCACCTTCAGCGCATTCCTGCCCTTCTTGGTATCTTGGATCAACCGCTTCTTCTTTTGGCTCCTCTTCACCGGCAAAGTGGAAAATGTGAACGTGAGCTACAAAATCTTCAACTATGAATGCCGATTCAAGCAGCACGTGCAAGATTGGGCCATTCCCCTGTAAGTCAATTGGGACTCTCTCCCCCTCTCGCTCCAATAGAAACCAATAGATTCCACAATATCTGGAGGATATTTGACATACAACATGCAGACCTCTACCATTATAAGTTAAAACTATTTCCCTGTGTGTTGGTGATTCTCATGAATTGTTTCGAGATCGCGTCAGAGTGATGTAGTGGTTAAGATGCTGACCTAGAAAGGAGACTGTGAGTTCTAGGTTTTTATTAGGCAGGGAAGCCAGCTCCGTGACTTTGAGCCAGTCTGCCTCTCTCACAGTCTAATCCAGTACCCAAAGTGGTGGTTATGGGGAAAATAGGAGTATTGAGTATATTCACTGTTTGGAATTGATAATGTAGAATTACACACACACACACACATGCACGTGCGCGCACACACACACACACACACATACAGAGAATGAGGGAGAGGGAGTTGAATATATATATAAGATAACAGGGTAATATAGGAATACCACACATACACACACACACCATGATGTGAAAAAGATGTTGAGAAAGAGTGCAGAGAAGAGCAACGAAGATGATTAGGGGACTGGAGGCTAAAACATATGAAGAACGGTTGCAGGA